TGTTGCCTATTGGTTCAGAGGTGAGGGGTTTTGTTTTCTAGATGATGAGATGTAATTAATGTTGAAGTCTTTGATCTTCTGCAGAAAGGCCTTCAAGTCTTCTTCATTTTCTGGAGTAAGGTTGTATTCTCTGCATAACACAGGTTGTTAATGATATGTAAGTTGTTGTGTACTATTGAGTTGGAGCTGACTCACAGCTGACCCTCCAGCGGGTTTTCAGAGGCAGTTACTCACATGAGAGAGAGATTGCCCATCTTTCTCCTGTGGAACAGCTGGTGGACCCAAACAGCATGCCTTTGGGATTGCAATGCAGTTTCTTGCCACTAGGCCAACAGAGGTGTGTGTGTGTGTGTGTGTGTGTGTGCGCGCATTTATATGTATATGGGTACATAATGATTATTTGTGTGTGAAAATGTGGCCATCGTTCTCAGTATAATGTGACTATCCTAAATGTTGTGTCATTCTAATCTCTATGATGTTAATGAGACAGGTTTAGCGGCTTAATGATTAGTCTTACTTGATTGTAAGGAACTTCCTCTATGGTAAGATATGATCTGGTTTATCTGGTTAAGAGGAAATCTCAGGGGTGTGTCCTGCATTGGATGTATGTTATACATTTGGACTCTGGCAAAAACCTAGAGAGCTTTATGTTTGATTTATATCTTACTATGTGGTTAGACTAATGGTTACCTGTGGTAGACAGTGTTTGGTGGCACTCCCCGGTTAAAAAAGCTTGGAAGCAGGAGTGGCATCCACTTCAGTAAATAGCTTGCCTCCAGAAACCCTATGAATATGGAGAAAGGATGCAAGCCATGCACACAAGTGTCGAGGACTTTCGTCCAAAGGGTCGCTAAGAGTTGCCTATGACTTGATGGCACTTAACAATAATAACAACAACAATGTGGCTAGGCTAGCGTGTGCGTGTGTGCGTGCGTGTGTGTAAGCCATCGAGTTAGGACCAACTCATAGCTGATCTTCCAGTGGGTTTTTCAAGGTTATAAACTGAGTAAGAGGAGACTGCCCATCTTGCTCCCATGAGTAGCGGGTGGATTTCAACACCCTCCCTTTGAGTTGGCAACAATTGCTCACCCACTAGGACACCAGAGATCCCTTCATAACTAGACAGATTATGAAGGAAAAAGAAGACTTTGACAATATTATAAACTAACTAGATCTATCAGACATATAAGTCCCCCCCCGCCGTTTAGAAACTCTGTATTTTCAGAAGAACCACATTCCCTCTGGGACTGTACTTCTCGTGTATACCTTGACATCATGCAATGTTCTAAAAGACTTTCAGGACACTTCCTTACAACAGACAGCTCTGGTGGCCTAGCGGTAGGGAACTGCACTGCCAACCCAAAGGCACATGGTTCAAATCTAGCGGATGCTCCTCAGGAAAAAGATGGGCAATCTCCTCCGGTGTGATTTATAGTCTCTGAAGACCTGCTGGTGGGTCACTTATGACTTGACAATGCACAACAATAACAACACCACTACTTCTTATGCTAGTTCTGCTATGGCTGAACTAAGGGCGAGATAAGATTAATAAAAAGATTAAAATTTCAGGAGGAAGGTATCTGACCTTCTAAAAAAAACCTTTATGGTTAGTAAGATTTGTTTTAACTGGTAATCGTGGGACTGGCCAAGATCATATCTAGGTTGATTTCACCCTGCTGTGTGGGGTCTTACTGACAATATTCCTGCAAAGATGCCTAGTCCAAGGGCCAAAGAGATAACTATGCAGGAAAGTGTTGACATAGCACACTCGAGGTGGCCATAGTTAGGCCTGCTTACCAGAAGCCTGAATCTGGATGGGTTCCCACAACTCCCTGATAATAACAAGAACCAAAAAAGATCTTAAGCAAGCAATTGGCTCATCCAGAATATTTGCTTTCCTTCTGGGAATATAGGATTTTGGTATATGTTAGGTAGAAGGTGCCTACACAAACAGACTCAGGCAAACAAAATCACAACCAGAGAACATTGGGTACTAAATGTTAACAAGTCTTCCTTATAGGTAACATTTCACATGTGTTGTTACAAGTTGTTACATGTGTTGTTGACGAAAGAAATGCACCTTTGTGACCTCACTGGCAGAGGTTCTTTGAAGATTGTGCCTTGTTTTCTCGGCACTTTGCCCTGTATGCCTTTTCCTCTGCAAACTCTGCTTTGAGTCTTCAGAGCTCCCAACATAGTAAGACAGTAGCAACACACGTGCAAAAATTTTCCATAGCAGACTCAATCACGACTGTCAAGCATTATAGCAAATATAAGAAAAAAGTTGGATAATACAGCATCATTTATCTGATAATTTAAATCTCATAGACAAGGAGATACTTACTGCATTATATTCTTGTAAGAATCAATCTCTAGCATGTTTTTCTAGCAGGAGAATGGATACTCATAGTGAACATTCATGTTATTATCATTTAACATTATACTTTTTATTCTAAGTATATAAAAAGTAAGTTAATAAAAGATATACCAGTATACTTTGATGTCAACTAACAACCCTTTGAGTAGAAATTGACTACATAATGCCCCAGGTTCCATACATTTTTCCTTTATATGAGAAAAAGCTCTCTGTTTATTGTTACATCCTAATGAGTTTACTTAATGGACTGCCGAAAGAACAGACAAGTCTGTCTTGGAGGACGTTCAACCAGAGTGTTCCTTAGAGGCAAGGATTTCATCTCACATACTTTGAGCATGTTGTCAGGAGGTACTAGTTCTTGGAAAAAAGGCTTCACGTTGGGAAAGGTAAAGACTCAGAGAAGGAGAAGAAGACCCTCAACAGGACAGACTGACACAGTGACTGTAACAACGGGTTCTATCGATCAGAGATGAGGATAGCATAGGGTAGGACAAAGTTTAGATCTGTTGTTCCTAGGGTTTTTATGAGTCATAGTTGACTTCAATTTGGACTTGATGGCACCTAACAACAACAACAACAACAACAGATTAGACCGGTCCTTGGAGAGGGACATCATGCTTGGGGGGGTGGAGGGACAGCGCAGGAGGGGAAGGTCCTCTATGAGGTGGATTGATTCAGTAACTGGGGTAATCGGGATGGGAGTGTCAGAGACAGTGCGATTGACACAGGACAGAGCGGAGTTTAGGGCTGTTGTACATAGGGTCGCTATGAGTCGCAAGCAACTTGACAGCACATAACAACAACAACAACAATAAGGAATTTAAAGGCCTCAAAACTCTATAGAGTGAATAAGCAGCAGGGAGTCAAGATGTATCTCAATTCCCCACAGCACCTCCTCCTAGGTCTGCTCTTCTGCTCTTTCTGGTTTCATTCATACTATCCGGAGCTGTGCAGTCTTTCACTGTCAACACAGGGCAGTGTCTGCATAGGCTGCTTCACTCCTGCTATCAGTGCTGACAGCACTGGCTGGGCCCAGGGTATTCACAGGCTCCCTGTGCTGGGCAGCAGCACAGGACCAAGAAGGTGCTGGGCAGATAGGGCAGCAGCAGCCAGGTCCACCAGCAAGAGCCATGCTTCCAATACCTGTAGACCCAGTCCCCATGGCTATCTCTTTGCACCTTCACCTACTGCCATCTTTGTCCTGTGCCCAGAGGTGTACAAGTCCCAATCCACCTGTTGGTGCAACCCATACCCAGCTCATGTGCACACCTGGCAAGGTCACCCTCCAGTGGACACAGGTCTTGGATATGGGAAGCTGGGTTTCCATAAAGTTTAATGTAATAGGCTTTATGGTGATCTAATGACAGAATCTAGGGCCCTTTTACTCATCTGTCTCAGTATATGCCGGGTTTGCTATGGTACCATTACTCTTACCTTCCAGCCCCCGGCTCTGTCATTGCTATGGCGCCAATACATTTGCCGGCAGTCATCTGGGGGATGAAGTGCTGAATCTGTTCTTTTGAGCCATAGTTTGAAATATAGGGCATGACAATATCTGAATGAAGACTGAAGCCTGGGCCTGTACAATTTGAATATGATCTTAGAAAAAGAAAGAAAGTTCAAAACATGAAACACTTTATTCTATGTTTAGTTTCTTTGATTTGCAATTAACAACCCCAAAATGCCAATTAAGTTGAAACAATTTTCTCATATTGTATGCCAAAAGGCTGCTTCCCCGTGAATCTATAATCTTGAAATCCCCTTTCTCTGCTGCTGTTGCTGTTTTAATAGCATTTTAATTTCTTCCTCTAACATAATAAAAGCGCTCTAAAACAAATTCAATACATTGAATCTAAAAGTAATTATCTACAATTTTATTACTCAATTGTAATTGAGTACACAACCATTTTAGTTTTGGTAAATTATTACTGTCGTAAAGATACAGTCTAGTATAATTACAAATATGGTGTACATATTATATTTTGCTGCTCTAGTTTTAAATTATATCACACTCACCAAAATCTGTTACCTTCTTGGTATAGTTTTTAACATAATTTTAAATTATTCTAGATCCTTTAAAGGTCATAATTTACTTATTCCTTCTTTTACTGCTAGACATTTGGACTGTATCCAAATTTGGAAGCTATATTATCATAATGATTTCTAAGTTCTATTTTTCTTAATATTTTCTTAAGCTAAATACTCAAAAGTAGGATCTTAAAAAAAGCACAAACTTTAAAAAACATCCAGTCTCATTTTAAAATCCTCAAGAACTATCATTCTAATTTATATTGCCATCAAGAGTATATGAATATGTTACTTTTACTGTAACTTTGTCAGCACTGGGTTTTATGATTTTTTTTACTAGTTTCACTGATACTCAAAATGATATTTCCGAGTAATTTTCATTTGATTGAGACTACAACTAAAGCCTGCTATTATTTAAAAAGAAAAACTTACATGTTTGAGCAATTGCTCAAATATTTTGCTCATATATCAATTAACAACTTGGTTTTATTTTAAATACATGAATATTTTATCATATTTATGAGAATATTTGTATACTCTGCTATTTCAATTATCTTTTTAATAAGGGGAAAATAATTGTTTACGCCTATCATAAATAAAGTAAGCTTTTAATTTTCCAACATCTATTTTAACAACTTAAAGGTGAATTTCATCATCTTCTCATTCAAAAAAACATGTGCGCGTATAAGAGTGGTAAAGTTTCTCACCATTTAGACTGTTTTTCATTTTCCAAGGACATTCAATAGCATTATCTCAGAAAGACAAGCAATATGCTTACAAAACAAGACTCCACTTCAAATGCCTTTGTACTTACTGCTCTTCCCAAACGATAGCCGCTGAGTAGAGGTCCCCACCGATGCCACCATGGTCCTCAGGAACGTTGATACCCAGCAGTCCTTGTGTACCAGCTTTCTCCCAAAGCTCCCTACTCACTTGTCCAGCTTTCTCCCATCTGCAGATAGCAAATATTTAACAAAGCAGAGATGCTTTCCTCATATTATTTTAAAGGCCCCAGCTCTGAATTTACACAGGAATGATTCATTTTAAGGTAATTAGTTTTGATATGGATCACAGCCTTCTATTTGCATCTGACACTTATTACTTCTTTCTCTTTCTCCCTTCTTTGTATTTACTGCTTTCTCTTTTCTCTGTCTTTTGGCTATTTACTGGACTTGCGGGCACATTCCGTGACAGGTATTCTTGGATGCTCTTGGGGTTCAAGCTTAGTAATGCTGCATAGCCATGGGCACTGGGCCAACCTGCCCTGAAAACAGAATCTGGCTCCGTGCATGTCTTTAAAGTGCTTATTCTATGGAACAAGCAAATAAGAGCTGATAAAAGTCTGCAAAGAATCTTTGGAAAGGATTAGGTATTTCAGTCCAACAATGGACTCAACTGTTGTAAAAATGCATCTTCCAGTCCAACAATGGACTCAATTGTTGTTAAAAGTGCACAGATCAGTCAACATTTCGTTCAGACCGCTACCATGAGGTGGAGCCAATAGCACCCCAGTATAATTTCAGCTTTGTTTAAAAAGTGAAAATCGTAGGATGAAAACCCAATAGCTGGAGGTAGTTAAGGAATCAAATAATTTTTGTTTTATTTTGTTGTTTTTTGAAGGGGTAGTGAGATATATGTAAGAAAAGGTGGGGCTGTTTGAAGATACTGAGGAAAGTTGAAAAGAAGGAGTTCAAATGTAATTTATGTTTTGATGTAGTTAACGCTTTAAAGTGGCTCTGGAAAGATTTCTTATTCTTAGCTCCCGATTTACTTAAAATAGTTCTGCTATCTTTTACCTCAATGTTTACTAGCAGTTTTTTTCTGCAACAAAATTTAAAAGCAGTGATGAAAAACAAAATATTTCCTAAAGGAAAGTATTATATTTCTTTCTTTTCATTTTTCCTTTTGTCTTTGATAAGAAGCTATTTGCTTATCATTAACAACTTAGCCGTAGATTCAGGTTAGCTAGTTTTAATAATTCATACCAAGGAAATATTAATAAAAACCTAAATACAAGCTGTTTTAACAACTTTTTCAATACTATTCTAAATGATAGTAAAAATGTTATCATTAAGTCAATTTTTGAAGTGTAGCAAAATCCTATTTTAATAGGATTAAAAATCCCATTTTAATAGAAATTAAAGCTTTTGGACAATAAGGTAGGTGATTGGTAATTAATCATTAATTTACCACAAAAGTACTCTGAAGTAGCCAATTTACTTACAGAAAAATTACAGCATGCTGGCTTTTAACCTTTTGTGTATTATAATTCACTTCTGGGAGTGCCTGAGTAGTGTGAACAATCAGCTGCTAAGTGAAAGAATGGCCATTGAGTCCACTCAGGGGCACTTAGGAAGAAAGTCCTGGTGACATATTTCTCAAAAATCAGCTACTGAAACAAACTGGATGGAACACTGTCCTCTGGCACATGTGGGGTCACCAGGAGTCAGAGTAAACTCGAGATCCAGTTCATTCATGATGCAAAAGGAGGATGAATAGGAAACTGACAAATATTTTGTTGCCGCTTAATCACAGGTTTATAGAAAAACTATTGTTAGCTTTTTGTTCTCTCCCTCCCCTTTTTTGCTTTTGAAGGATATATTTCAGAATTCATGAAAAATAAATCTCTGAACTAACTTAAAAACCTCTGTGTTCTAGAGTATTTTAGTGAAGAGCAGTACACACTAGAAAACACAGAACACACAGTTACACACAGTAAACAAAGAACACACTAGTTTTCCTGTAAAATCACATACAGCCTTCTAGAAAAGGGTTCTTAACCATACTTCTCATGTACATTACATTAAAGGAAAACATGCCACTTACTCTGTGTGATGAGGAACCACTTCTTCTTGGAAAAATCTCCTTACACTTTCCCGGAAAATGTCATGCTCTGAAGAAAAGATTCGTCTAATTCCTATATCTGTTAATTTTTTAGCAGAAGAAGTTTCGAGACGTTCTTCAACTCCAGAATGGGAATATCTTTAGAAAATGTTAAAAAATTGTTAATTGTTATTCTTCATATCCCAGGCAATATTCTTGAACAACAAAGAAAATTCACTCTATTTTACAACATGAAAAAAATCCTTCCCTCACCCCATCCTAAACCCAGAGATACTTTAGAGGCAGGTAGAAAAAACAGAAGGGTATTAGAGTTTGACAAACCAGGGTGCAAATGTGAGTATTAACATATTTGATAGGGAGCTCTGGTGGCCAGTGATAAGAAGATGCACTTCAATCCCAAAAGCATTTAGTTAGAATTCAACAGACGCTCTGTGGGACGCTCGGCAGAGTGTTTTACTGCTTCTGAAAACCCTCTGGAGAGTTAGCTATGAGTAAGTTCTCACTTCACCTGCACACAACAACAACAACATGTTTGACAAGAATTTACAGGTTCGGGTGGCCTAGTAGGTAGGGAATTGCACAGCTAACCCAAAGGTGGTACCTCTTTGGCAGTTCAATCCCACTAGCTGCTATTCAGAATGTGGGCAATCAATCTCTTTGGTATCAGAAACTTGGAAAAATGGCTTTTCTATCCACTGTGTTAGTCCTTGTTGGGGCCACGGTCTTCAGCTATCTTAACTGAGGAGACATGGTCTTGCAAATCATCAATAGCTCTCCTCCAGAGAAGGAGGGGACAATCTCCTCCTGTACCAGGCAGATCCGATTTGACGGTACACATAAAAAATAATTAAAATAATTTAAAAAATATGGATTGAGGCTCAATATCAAGAAAACAAAAATTCTCACCACTGGGCCAACTGGCAGCATCAGGATTGATGGTGAAGAGATTGAGATTGTTAACAGCTTTAGTTTGTTTGGTTCCACAGTCAATACTCTTGGCAACAGCAGCCCGGAAATTAAAGACTCATTGTGATGGGAAATTCTGCTGTTAGACCTCTCCAAAGTACTGAAGAACAATGGTGTCACTCTGGAGACTAAGGTGTGCCTGATATAAGCATGGTCTTTGCAATCACTTGCTCTGCATCAGAGAGCTAGACAATGACTAGGGATGCTAGAAGGAGACTTGATGCTCCTGAGCTGTGATATTGGAGTATTGAATATACCATGGGCTGAATGAACAGGTTCGTCCTGAAGAGCGTTAAACCAGGCTGCTCCTTGGAGGCAAGGATTCTGAATCTTTGTGTGACATACTTTGGACATGTTGCAAGAAAGGACCAGTCCTTGAAGAAAGACATCATGCTTGGGAGGGTGAAGAGACAGCGCAGGAGAGGAAGATCCTCTATGAGGTGGACTGATTCAGTGACTGGTGTCATCGGGGTGGGTGTGTCAGAGACAGTGAGGTTGGCACAGAATAGAGCAGGGTTTAGGGTAGTTGTACATAGGGTCGCTATGAGTCGCAGGCGACTCGACAGCACATAACAATGTGTAAAATAATCCAGACACTACAAAATTATTATTTTACCCAGAATCACACAATTTCTAAAGGCAGGTATGTAAATTGTCTCTTGTGTTGGTGTTATTGCTACAATACAGTACCACTATGGGTAAAAATAAAAGTGCCCACCAGTCCTTTAAGGATTTGTTGTTGCATTTTTCAAGATCATTAGAAATTGACTCTTTCCTAACATGGTAAGGTTAAAATGAGACTGTCCTGTACTTCTCTTATTTCAATGGTGCCCTCACTCCTCTACCTTCCCACCTATAACTGATCTTCCTGAAAAGAATTTTGAAAGATGGTACCTCTTTGGGCATTTTTAAGTTCACCGAAAACACATACTTTTTTCACTTACTCATATATTATCAAAAGATAAGTTTTATGTCTGTGATAAATGCTAAGTTCTTCTCTTCCAATTTTTAAAAGTTTTTAATGTTTTAAACTCCTCTCTCCTTAGCTTTTTTTTTTTTTTTTTT